AATAAAAAATAATTTTTAATATTAAAAAACTCACTTATATTCAATAATTTAAATTTAAATTATATACTTTAATAAAATATCTCTAGATATTAGTACCAAAACTTACATCGTTAATTTACAAACAGTATCTGACCAGCTTTTTCTGAAAAGTGAAAAGCATCAATTAATAGAACAAAGCAATGGAAAAGAGGCAAAAGCATGAATCGGTTCTGTTCTGTGTGAATTTTGATGGTCAGTACTCTTTACCCCTCAAGATTTAACCCATGTTCTTGACCCACAATGATATAACTTCAACTGAGATTGTAAGCTAAAAATTTTCTCAACTACTTAATCAGTTCCTTTGTTAGGAAAAGATAACAATGGTTGTTAAGATGATTAATCAAAATTTTATTTTTGAAGTACAAAAACGAAAGGAGTAATTAATTTTAGTTACGATACGAGACCTGTTAGTTGTTAACAGTTGCAACGGTTATAGCGGTCATTTCATATGTTTCTCGAATTTCGAAACTCCTTAATTGTGGGATGATGTTTTAGTATTGATACATGTTGGGTGTCGATTCTTACACGTGTTATTATATGAAGTGTCAAGATGCAGCTTTTAGTGGAGACAAGGGAATGAGGGAATGATTGGGTAATCATTTTAACATTGTAATTTTGGATTCGAGTCGTAATGATTGAAACAAGTGTCTTTCAAATTTGACATTGAAACGACTCACGTGATCAAGACAAGCAGCAAAGAGGAGAGAAGAAGTGGAATGAAGATGAAAGCACGTTCCAATGATCTAGGAGTTTCGAATTGGTATTTCCTAACATAGAGAATATTGGGTCAGGTGTGCATTGTGTGTTTGCTACAAAGATGGTTAGGAGTAGCAATTGCCACTAAAAACTAGTAGTATTGGTCATGTTATCTAGTCATTGCTTTCTTGAATCTTGATTTCGATTTTTCTTTACGTTCAAGCCTACGACTTTTTTGGAATAAATCCAAAATTAAATCTTAAAAAATAAAGTGAAGAGTAAACTCTATATCAAAAGTGTCGTGGATTTAATGCAGTACGTAAAAGGTCCGAAGCTACGGCCCAGGAGTTTTGCAACATTTATGGCCCACAGTTCGAACTATCATGTTTTTTGAAATCATTAGTGCAAATTCATGAATTTTAGAAACTCATAGCTTGCAAAAAGTGTTTTGTCCGAACTGCAAAACAGATATCAATAAATGATGAGGAGATTTTTTTAATGAGTAAGGGCTTTTTTATTTAATGGTTAATATTTTCTAATTTAATGTAGTTTGAATTATAAAATATAAATTATTAGATGATGAGAGTTTTTAATAATAAGTAATGGTCTTTTTATTCAAAATTGACATTTTACAGTTTAATATAATTTAAATTATAAAGTATTGGATTCTTGATATAAAAGATCATGGGTCAAGCATAGCCCATATCATTTTGGGCCGTGTCTTTAGCATTGCTCCTTTGAAAAAAAATCTAATGTAACCAAATGGCAAATTAGATTCTTTTTTCCCCTTAGTATTTGAACTTTAGGCTTTCAGTAAAAAAAGAAAAAAATTTAACTCTTATGGTATATTTAGTTTGGAAGAAATAAAAGAGAGGAAAATGGAAGGATATACTATTTTTCTGTTTTCTTCTCCTCATTTGGATAGTAAGTAAAACAATTAAAAGAAAAAAAAAATAATACAAATGGCTTCCCTCCTCTATAATTCTTTTAGTAATTAAATAAATGATTTTTTTTTATCCTCTCCTTTGAAACTAAACATATTATTAATTACAATATATATTATTAATTATTGTGCCATTCTTTACAAAGCATCTAAATAACAAATGAGATAACAATGAATCCAAGTGAAAGAAATTTTTTTGTTTAGGTGCTAGTTAAAACCTTATTTGTAAATTTGGCATTACCGATTCATTTCATGGAATTTAACACCAAATATTGCCAAAGGAAACCCTCGCTCGCTCCCTCAACTATAGATTACTTGAGCAGGAAGGAAAGGTCACAGCCATCAATGGAGTCATTATCGAACCTATTCACTCTTATCTCGAGGCATTGAAGGGGACTGCTGAATTCATCAACACCCCTCAATGCCTTCCCTTCTCTCACAACTGACATGATATATGGTAAAATAAATTGGATATAATATGATAGAGGCAGGCAAAATCGCAAAAAGCACAGGGAAAGGGGGGGGGCATGACTACCTCTTTTTCCTCTGCGTGATAAGGACGAGAAAGGAACCAAACCATCGATAAAAGGAACAAAGTGGGATTATCACAATGGGACCACTCCCCACCACCACCTTTCCTCTTTTTGTCTATCTGCTATTGACAAAGCTTTCTTACCTAACAAGCGAGCAACCAACCCTCAATATAATTGCTTTAAAATCAATTGGTGGGCAGCTTTGATTTCAGTCCTTTTTTTTTTCTTTTTTTTTTTTTCCTCTCCTTTATGATTCCTACAATTAGGGAGTGGAAAAAAAATGAAGGCAAACTATCTTTCTCAAATTAGGGAATGTACGAGAAATTATTTTTTGGTTATTTTTAAAAGAGTTGACTCTTGATTAACAAGATATGTTAAAAATAAGTAAACTTGCAATAACTTTTTGGGGTTAAGAATTTAGGTTTTGTTTGATTGAAAACAGTATATATTCCGTTGTTGAATTATAAATACAGGATATTTCAAATATGTTTTTTAAAGGTTGCGATTAATACAATTTTTAACTATTAAGTCATATAGAAAAACAAATATGAGATTTAGCACAAATATTACGTGTATTAATTTAATTAGTTAAGTGATAAAATTAAAATAAAAATTTATTGCTTATTTAATTTTTATGCAATTTAATGGTTAAAAAAATATTAATTGCATAGGTTAGAAAAATTTACAAATATATATATCAAAAAATGGAATTATAAATATACAAATAATGTAAAATTGAGAAACTTAATGATTTTTTTTTCTTCAATCAAACGATGCTAAAAATTTCCACAATAATATATATATATTTTTTTATTTTGTGTTTTACAATGAGAGATTAGCATCTTTCATTTTCTAATCTATCTTATCTACATATCATATAATTTAAATTTAAAATTTTTTATTTTTACTAAAAAAAATTATCATTGGATTATTTAGGTTGTTAGCTCCACAATAATAGTATTGTTTTGTCCTGCCACATCCTACTAAATATTATTAACAAAATTTTAACTGAATTAGAATTTATTAACTACAAAATCTTGATTTGACTCAAAGATCAACCTAAATACTATTGCCAAATTATTTTACAGTTTTGAAGTCACATGTAAATTTTCACACCTCCAATCTGGTGTATAAAAAATTAATAATGGGTTGGTTGGAATTTGAAAATTGGAATTCTCCTACATGTAATGACTTCCTTATTGTTTATGAAGAAACAGTTAAATATATGGGCTTGAACCAAATTTTGAATTGATGAAGCCCAATGATCCAACTGAGGTGGACCCATGATCCATTGCATGGAACAGAATTGCCCGACGTCAGCCGTCAAGATTCACAACAGGTTTTGTTCTTTTACAGTTATCACTGGTTCATAAATAGGTGCAAAATTTTGTGATATTTATTGAAGCTGAAAAGAGTGTTTTCAATGAGTATAAAATGAACTACGTACCTTTTGCCTCCAATGGAGTATCGTAAATGATTAAGAACTTGAAATTTTAACTTAAACTAGGGGAAAGGGAATAAAAAGACTATTCTTATTGTATAACTCCTCATTTGATGTATCAAGAAAAAAAAACTACCTTTAATCCCCAAAGGCTTACTGCAACATTTCTTGATGGAGACAAATGATAGTATTCTTCATGGAAAAAGCCTACAGTATTCTGTCTATATTTCTTTGTAATTAATTATAGCAATCCATCAAAGGGAATTAGAGCGTGTAGATCCCTTTTCTTTCTTTTTTTTTTTTTTTGTGGGATAGTGAAGAGAAGATAGTATGGTATGGTAGAGTCATAGAATTTAGCTGCTGCTCCTTTGCTAACGACCGTGTTGAAACCCTAATTTATGGATATTAGAGCTAATGTAAGATTGGGGTTTTAAAACTATTAAGAAAATAAATATACCACAACCCATCAATCAGCAGGTTTGCCCGAGAGGTTAAGGGGGAAGACTTAAGATCTTCTGCACATAAGTGCGCGTGGGTTCGAACCCCACAGCCTGCATTTTTAAAATTTTTTTTCAAACATTTATGATAAACTCCTATGAACTTTACATTTTTATCTCATGTATCATCCCTCAAGAAATACTAAAAACAATTTTTAGGTTCGCCATATTAACCCGCTTTTGTGGTTGTTTACAGCTAGGTCTAGTTACTTGGACCTTTTGTCAAGGTCTTTCGTTTAGCTTTTAATTTATTATTTAGAAGTCTTTACTTGGCCTAGTTTTTAATTTTGTTTTAATTTTCCTATTAGAAATCTCTAGTTTTTACTTGGGCTAGTTTTAATTTCCTTATTAGAAATCTTGAGTTTAAATTTAATAAAAATGAGTAAGGAACAGATTTGAGAAAATAAAGTATTATCTTTTGTTATATAATTTATTATCAAATATAAAAAAATAAAAATAACTCATATTTTCAAGAAAGTTAAAAAGCAATCCACCAAACAGCTTCTAATTTGGACCCAGATTTTGCTTCTCGAGCTGAGAATAAAGAAGCGTTACATAAACATTACCAAAAGAACCTTTCAACTTAATGAATCCTAGGAAGCTATTGACGTCTTTCTTTTTGTGAGAGGGAACTAATGAAATCTTATCTTACTCAATGAAGAAGAGGATGGAATCCTTGTATCATATCTTTGAATTCAAAATCCTTTCAGAGGCCTGACTTACTGTTTTCATTCTAATATTTTTCAATTTTGCATCCAACACCTGCAATTTAAAATTTGACTACAGTACATGCCAATTAATTGATCTGTGTCAATGTTAATGATGTTTATGTTGACTAATATTTATTAGAAAACTTAAAATTTTATTTCTTAGAATCACAAGTTCTTTAAAAATCTGCAACTATTTCCCAAGAGAGAATTTAAAAGCGATGGAACTTTTTCCACTGAAATAACCCATAAACGAGTCCCAGTAAAAGATTATCTATAGCTCCATATAAGTCTTCACAACATCGCAATTCAACTCGAGCCAAAATTCACAAAACTTATTGAGAAGAAGTCTGGGTCCTAAGCCCCATTTCAAAATATCCCTTATTAATGGAAAACACAACTTCACTTAGTTCCTAACCTTAGTGCAGTTATCAGTCTACCATAGTCTAGTAGGGCTCAACAGGATTGCGGAAGCACGCTCCAGCATAAACTGCATGTGAACCGAGCTCTTCCTCAATTCGCAAGAGCTACACATGCACAAGAGACCATCAAGGAAGTTAGAGATTGCCACTAACATAATGGTTTTCATTTCAGTACTAATGGATAATTCTCAGGACATTGAAAACTAATGTGCAAGTTCAAAGAAAAGCTGCAAACCTGGTTGTACTTGGCTAAACGCTCAGACCTGCATGGAGCTCCTGTCTTGATTTGACCCTGTTCATAAACAAAAATTAGTCAAATATAAAAAATTGAACAATTCTTGGTTTGCATCAATTCAAGAACCATAGAATCCAATTCTTGAGATTATATATTAATTACCGTGGCCAAACCCACTGAAAGATCAGCGATGAAAGTGTCCTCAGTTTCACCACTGCAAGCAATTAATTTTATACAATTTGTCAAGTAACTGTAACACCAAAAACAATGTAAACAATACTCTGTTCTTGATGTTTCAAAGTTGAAATCCAAACCTGCGATGGCTGACCATCACACCCCACCCAGCTCGCTTGGACATCTTGGCAGCTTCAATGCTCTCAGTTACAGATCCAATTTGATTAACCTGCTCAAATCACACAGAAAGAAATGATCCCAGAGTATGGAAGGAGGCACAGAACAGCAACCCTTTTAAGCAACAAAAATTACCTTAAGAAGAAGGGCATTGCAAGTCTTTTCCTTAATAGCCTTCGCCACCCTCTGCAAACATTAAAAAGGAAAATATAAACTCACATGAAGGAAAAGTTAAGGGATGGTTTAGATTGCTTGACTTTATGCTACCTCCTTTTAAATTAGTGTTTTGAAAATGGATTGCTAAGAAACCTTACAAAAGGAAAAACTTTAACCTTTGGGTTGGTGACCAGGAGATCATCTCCCACAATCTGAAAATTTTCACCAATTTCACAGGTTAGCTTGGTGTAGTGCTCCCAGTCATCTTGGTCAAAAGGATCTTCAATGGACACAATAGGATAATCAGCAACAAATGACTTGTAGAGATCTTTGAGGGCATTTCCAGAGATCTTTTGTGAACCATCATTTCTCTGCACAAGCAGAGCAGCAAGAATGAGTTGAGAGCTATGTCACTATTATTATGGTATGAATAATTAAGGACTATTATTAGAAACAAACCACATAAACATTTCTATAATAAAAACAATGGAATCATGCCAGCAAAACTCACCTCCTCCTTGAAGTTCAGGTCATAAGTCTTGTCAGATAAATAGAATTCAGATGCTGCAACATCCATTCCAATAACAACCTAACATAACGAGGAAAATTTTCAGTAATTCATTCCTCTTAACAAATACAAGGAGATTGAAGAACTTATAAAGAGCATCAAAATATGGTACTGACTTTGCCTGTGTAACCAGCTTTCTCAATGGCAGTCTTGAGCAATTCAAGACCTTCCTTGTTCTCCTGTAGTTGCAAAAAGAATAACGACAAATTTCCAGAGACAAAAATGTATGGTGAGATAGCAAGTTAAATTTATTACCACACAATTTCTATACGCTAGAAGTCACCTGAATGTTAGGAGCAAAACCACCTTCATCACCAACATTTATTGCATCCTGACCATACTTTTTCTTGATCACAGCCTTCAGGTGGTGGTAAACTTCAACACCCATCTTCATGGCCTCTTTGAAAGATGAAGCACCAACAGGGAGAATCATGAACTCCTGCACCCACATGATTTTTCAGAAACACCACAAGCAAAAGGAGTCCTACAAAGCAAATATCCAAGTGAATGATCCAGATCCCTGCCTGCATAGCGAGTTTATTTCCTGCATGTGATCCACCATTAATGACATTGAAAGCTGGAACGGGCAAAACCAACTTGCTGTTGCCAGCAAGGTTGGCAATGTGCTGCATCCAAAAACCAAGATTTTATCAGATTGGTCTCCCTGAAATGCATAAAAAAGACCTAATGATACACCCCCACTAGGAAAACACAAAATAAAAATTCCAAATACCTTGTAAAGAGGAATGTTTTTGACCATAGCCCCAGCTTTACAGACTGCAAGAGACACTGCCAGAATGGCATTTGCTCCAAGCTAGGGGAAAACAAACAATGAAAAAGATAAGCAACAAACCACTTTAGGTTTAGGTGCAAAAGTCAAAAGCTCCATCATACATATCATGGAAAGAGAAGATAAGGGATCGATGCAGTTACCTTCTGCTTGCACCAACCCCACTCATTTTGGGTTCCATCAAGTTGCTGAACCATGAAATTGTCAATAGCTAACTGCTGAGTTGGGTCCTGGGAAAACAATACAAAAGAAAAAACTAATTTCAAGGGAAACCACCAGACAATCAAAAGACATAAATAGTTTCATTTCACTGTCAGCCTGTTAAATTCAAATTGTAAATTCATTTATACACAGAACCTCACTAAACACAAAAATATGGCATCAGAAACAAAACCCAGGAAGCATCTAACCTTGCCAATCAATGCTGGGCCAATGATTGTGTTTACATTTGCAACCGCCTACATGTCAAGCACAAAGAGGGTCAAATGAGTAAAAGACTATCTGTATCAAAGGTACAAAAAATGGATCCGTTTGCATAAAAACTCACCTTTGATACACCTTTCCCAAGATAATCAGACCCTCCATCTCTCAATTCAAGAGCCTCATAAATTCCTAAGATGAAAAATAAAAATCAGACGAGTATTCCCCATCCTCAAATCATTCCTAAAAAAATTTATCAGATTTGAACACCATGACTATCTTTCACATGAAACAAAACAAAAATTATAAAAGCACTGTATTACTATCCAATCACTTTAACTAAACATACCGGTTGAAGCACCACTGGGAACAGCGGCTCTGGCTTTCACACCATTTGATGTTTCCAAATCAACCTATACAAACAAAACATTTCAATAAAAAAGAAAACAAAAAACCACCAGTTCATTTAATCAAAAAAAAAAATTGAAGGAAAACAAAAATTTCAAGCCATGATTGTCCAGATTAATTAATTAATCTTCATAATCACCAGTAAATAATAATAATAATAATAACAATAATAATAAAAATAATAATAATAATCTGTGTGAATAAGTCATTAAAATAGTTAAAACATGCTCGACACTCGACCGATTCAGCTAACAGAGCAGACAATCTCGAACACAAAAAGATGAAAACAAAGTTTGTCGGAGGCCAGTCTCGGAAAGGTAAATAAATACACAGATCGGAAAAATAAAGATCATCCGAAAGGAGATCGGAACGGGAGCAAACCTCGACGGTTGGATTACCACGGCTGTCGAAGATCTGCCTGGCCTTGATAGAGACGATTGTAACACCCATGAGCAAGAGGTTTCGAGATCTATAGGCTGAGAGTAAAGAGTGAGCAAACTAATGGAAGAAAGGACCGTGGCATATTTATATAGTGGAGATTAGAGTACAATAGCCGTTGGATTAAGGGACCATTTTCTGATCGGTAAAGGGCCTCGTTTAGCCTCTCACCTTATTAACTTCTTTGCTTTTAGCTACTCACTTTATATAAAGGTTTTAGTCCTTACCGATTCAAGTTAGAAACAATAACCAAAAATAGATGCTAAATTATCATATACCTCACATGGTTGTTAAGATTCCATTACCCCTTTCCTTATTATTATGACACAAATTGATTTAAGTCAACTGGCCATATCATCGTGAATATAATATGAAATCAAGTAGTCCTTTATCATCTTAAATACATAAAAAGAAAAAAAGAAAAACCAAGAAAAAATGACAATTCCATTGATTAATAGCTCTATGAGTTTAAAATCACTTTAAATTATCATGTGGCTCCATCAGTTCTATTGATCATTTAACATTTATTTTGAGTTATTTTCATTAACTCAAATCATTAAGGGTTAAAATTATTAATATTGAAGTTAAAAGATTAAAAGTGACAAACTTAATAAAATTAGAAGCTAACATAGCTTTTTTCCTTTATGATTTAGACTTTCTTGGTTTGGCCGATTTGGTGGGCGTCTGTTTTTTCAAAACCGA